CAAATAAAGAAGGCTTTGTACAGCCTTCTCACCACAACAGTACTACAGCTATGGAAAATCTGTTCTCAATAAATTCTTGTATAGAGGAACAAGCACTAAAGCTAAGTAAACCTGCAATTACAGCTGAATCCTGTGAAAATTTAGGTTGGAAGGGACCTCCAGAGGTGCCCAGCTCCAAAGCCCTTGTCACTATGCCACCCTGTATGTCACCCTGGGCTCAGCCCCATGCCCCAGCCATTCTGTGCACACGAGAGCATGAGGAGGTGTGTGTACACTGTACCGCTTGAGGTGCACTGAGAGCTGCCCCGGGTACCTCCACTACCCCCAGGCTGTCTCTAGCCTCTGCCACTCAAGCTGAGGTGCTTCAGATCACTCATCCCTGGTTTGAGTGGAAGGGGATGAACTGGAGACCCCCAGAGGCTCAACCACAACCACCAGCACTGCTGGGGGTCTGAAACTATTCCGGTGAGACAAATTGGTAGTAAACAGCAGTGGCCGAAGGTGCTTTTACTAAGTTACTCAACGAAGCACAAAACACGGTTGTGGTACACAGCTGAAATTAAATCACTAAGTACTGCCTACAGCTTTTCACATTGCACAGATAAAAGAAAATCTTACTTAGGTGCAAATACCAGGAAAGTTTGTCTTTGTTCTGAGACACAGGTGCAAACTGACCCACCCTGCCATCTGGCATTCACACCTTGGCTGAGAGGGATACTGCCGTGGAGGATGACAACTCAGAGACTGCTTTGCTTTTTCTGAATGTCAGGTAGCTGGCTTTTCTCCTCACGACAGGAGGAGCTGGGCTTCTTCCACTTGGCTTGGGGTTCTGACTATAAAAACTGTAAGAGAAGGGTTCCAGCAGACATTTCCAACACCCTCACAGACTTTGACTTCAGCCCGCAAGAGGTGTGTGTGTGTGCTTCTCAGTGACAGGGACAGAATACTCAGGGATCTCATCCAGCCACCCTGGATGAGGTGAATTGATTTAATCTTGGCTGCCTCTGGCAAGAGCAGATCTACAAATGTTCTACAAATGTAGATCATTTAAAAAACAAACAAGCCACTTGTAATTGGAGGATTATGTTTGTCTCCCACACGTGCCTTGTCCACTCTGAGGTTTGTTATGGTTAGGCTACACACAAAGCAGCAAGAGGATACCAGCTCTGCCTCCGCTGCCCAGCAGCAGTACAGGCTGCTGGAGTCTCTCTGTCCTGGTGGCTGTCCCTTCTGTCAGCCCATCCCTCTCTTGCAGTCTGGGAAAAAAGCCTGGTGAGTTTTCCCCATGGCCAAGCACCCACACAGATGGGTGAGAGGAGCTGTGATTGTTCTGCACTCACTCAACCTGGGAGAAAGCGCCATTTTCCAGCTGGACACTGTTTGTTCTAAGGGACAGCAGCTGCTCGCCTGCACTGCACCCCTCAGGAAACACCCAGAGGCAGAGACATGGCCAAATGAAGGAGAGGCAGCTCACACATTTTGAGGCACTGAAACTGCTTTTGTTTTGAGTATCAGGGAGGAACAGGGTGAAGGGAGAGTTCTTGCTCCTGCAGCTGGTGCCTGAAATGCACGGTATGGAACCCCAGCCCTGCAAGTCTGGAACCCTGGCACAGACTCAGCTTTGCTGTGCTGTCAGACTGCTTGTTTTTGTCCAGAGCCAAGCCTCCGACACGGGCAAAGGCACTTCACACCAGTCACAGAGCAGCGAGACCACTGCTCCTGGAAGAGAAGACTGAGTGTCTTGCTGGTGTTGGTGATCCAAAGGCCTGGACTGAGACTGGGGCTAACCATGAAGAAAGGTGGCTGCCTGCCAAGCCACAAACACCATTCCCTGTCACCTTCTTACTTCTACCACTCATGTTGCTGCATCTTGCCTCACTTTTAAATGCATCCAAGAGCCCTGCCCAAGATTATGACTTGGAAGTATAACACAGCCTGCAAGTTAAATATACTCAATTCTATCTGACATCAACAGGGAGTGTTGTTACTCATAATTAGTCTCCAGTTACACAGAAATTACTCTTTTCACAGTTCTCCCTTGCAGTCCTTAAAAAACAAAAGATAAATGTCTTGAATCAATTTTTGCCTGTGATTAACAGCTCTTTCAGCCTAATTTTTAATTTCACTTCTAACTTTGAAGGGGTTTTGACATAAGCCACATGTTAAAATTACTCCAATGGGTTGGAAGGTCCAGCTTCGGAAATAAATCTGTAATGTGGTCTCCCCCTCTAAGATGATACAGCCAAAGTACACCACGCCACATTTTGCTTTCAGGAAGCCTCCTCTGCTCTGTATGCACCCAAGTGAATGCCTGGCTGTACTCGTACCACAAGTTGTTTCAGGATTTCAAAAACCGTGCAGATCAGAAGCACTGGCATTTTCCCCAGGCTGGGAGGAGAAGCTGACCTGAGGCTAGCTGGGGATGCTAGCACCACATTGTGTAGGTTGGTTTCCTGCTGTTTGCAGTGAGGAGCATGGGGGAGATTCAGCGCAGCTTGCAGATGGCAGGCACTTGCTGGAGTTCCCAAGGTGCCAAAGCCAGAAGTCAGAGGGCTGAGATGAAGCTGGTGGGCAGTCTGATCATGGGCCCTTTACATGCTGCTGCAGACCACCATGCAGGCACATGTGAGGAGCACCAGGCAAGCTGGAGACTCCCTATCACCAGCTGTTTACTCAAAACAGAGCTCAGCCCTCCCCACAGCTGTGGGGTAGGCTTGGTCTGAAACAGGATATGAAACCTCCAGCCTAAGGACTGCATGTGGCCACTGAATGTAGGTGTAGGAAATATCTGACCACACTTGGGCCATCCTTTCACCTCTCAAAAGCAGAAGTAAGAATGACTCCAGCTCTTACTACACTCTGTGCAAGTCACCTTTTGCTGCAAGGCCACCTTCCAGGGAAACAGTAGTTCCTACAGCTCACCTTAGATCCTCAGCCAAGAGAGGAGGAAATCCCCATCAGTTCTCAGGACCCTTCCAAACCCACTGCACATATGTCTGGAGGATCACATAGGAGGAGAGATCCCAAGGAGAGATAAGAAAAAGCCCATAGCTAATATCAACTGGGAATGGTCACTGTGTTTCAGGAGAAAGGCCTGTCATCTCCTGTGATTTCAACAGGCTGGAGGAATGGGCCAGAAGCAACCTTGTGAAGCTAAGTACAGGAGAGATGATTCTTTCTCACCACTTAGTGCTGCTGAAGACTCATCTCCATAACTGCATCCAGTTTAGGCCTCTCCAGTACAAGGAAGACACGGACAAACTGGAGAGAGTCCAGCAGTGACCACCAAGGTCGTGATGAGGCTGTGGCACAGGGCATATGAAGAGACATTGAAGGAACTGGGCTTCTCCAGCACGGAGAAGTGACAACTGGAGAGTTCTCGCAGGGGTCACCCACTTCCTGAATCGTGGTCATGGAAAAAACAGAGCCAGACTCTTCTCAGAGGCAGACAAGGACAAGACATGGGGCAATAGATACATGCTGTAAGACAGGACATTCCAGCTGGGCATGAAAAAATTCCTGCACTGAGGGTGGTGCAACTCAGAGAACAGATCTCTGTCCTTGGAAGTATGCAGAATTCAACATGGCCCAACACAACCTGATCTAGCTTTGGACTAGGGGGTTGGACTGGAGACCTACAGAGATGCCTTCTTACCAAGACTTCCTGGCAATTCTGTGTTACAGTGGGAGGGAGGGAATACGTCTGCCTTCCTTTGGAGGTTTTTGGCTTCCCTCTGCTCTAAAACATCTCTAGTGTCCAGGACAGACCTGAGACACTACATGCCTCTCCCTCACCATGCCTGGGCTGCTTTCCTCCTCATGCAGCATTAATATGGCAGTGAGGACTTTTGGTGTGGTTTTTTTCATGGCCTGGCAATGGCTGGAAGGTGTGTGTCCCAGCAGGCTGGCCTGGAAAGAAGGTCTGAAAACACAGAGCTGCACTGGAGCTGGCACCACTGTACTGCATGGTGCTGTGCACTTCCAGCTGGCCCAGGAAATAACACAGCTGCTGCAACTCAGAGCCCTCTAACATGCTCTTGGTGATCTTCTCTGCTACCTTTTGAGAAGTATTTGTGTTTGTACGTCTGCAGCTTTACTGATGCAGAGCAGTGACCGAGCAGCCAGGGGAATGAGACAAGGGTGGAAAATGACTGCAGGCATGTATTAAAGTATTCAGCTTGTCCAGCTGAAAGAGATTTCTGCCAAACGATTTTATAAGGAATGAGGCATTTTGCAGGAAAAGCAGGGCCTCTCCTCTCATTTCCTTTCTCTTCTTCTCTATGAACTTCAAAGAAAAGAGGGGTCAAAACAGAGGCCAGGCAACTGAAACCGAGTTCCTGAGCCCTAAAGCCTAATTAGTCCAAGATACATTTCATTGGGTATCTTTCTGAGACTGGCCTAAATTGCCAGTCCTCCCTGCTGTGCTGCTGAGGGTCAAATAAAGCCAGAGTGTGGTCCACAGTTTGCGGAGCCCCAGCAGCACCAGAGCTCTTGCAAGGGTGGGGGTGGGGTCTCCGCCCAAGTCCCACTTCTGACAAGGCCCTCCCAGCCCCCACAAGCTTTCTGTGGCCACAGCTAAACCCGCTTCTCCAGGACAGGGATCAGTCCACCTCCCTGGTGCGTCGTCCCAGGGCTGATAGTGACCGCAGCCCACTAACATCCCCCACAGCTGTGTGGCTGCTGCCCCTCATTGCTTCAGCCGAGGCTATCAAAGAGCCTTCAGCCATTTGGAATTGCCCTTCAGCAGTTTTTGGCTGATGTTAAAGCCCCTCCTGCCTCACCTCCTCCAAGCAAGCTGCCAGCTCCTGCCAGCTCGGCCTGCAGGCCACGTGCTCCATGCTCTTTCCTGCCTTGCAGTTGTTTGCTAGTCCCCCCTCCAGCTTCTCCACATCCTTCCCAGACGGATATCCAGAAAAAGGGATAGTTATGTCCCTTTATCTGTGTCTCCTCACATGGCCCAGCATGTGGTCTGCCTCACCCGAAATGACAAACAAAGTCGGTTTTGCACAGGTTTAACAACTCTCTGGAACCACACCCCGATTTCAAATCACAGTGTCTCTGCAAGACACTGCTCTTGGGGTGGTTTTTTTATTAATTTCTTTTTTTAGGGGGGCCCACGAAAAGTATTTTAAGAACAGAGAAACAGAAACCACACAGGCTGTTTCCCTTGCACAGCATCTCTCAAGAGGCCGGCCTCAGAGGCGTGCATCTTATTTTGAGACTACAGTAAATGCACTTTGATGAAGGATTCATTTCCGGCCTTGTGGTCTGAAAGCTGAGAAAAGCAAAACTCCCAATGCAGGTCACTAGAGTAATTCCAAGAGCAGGGAAAGGGCGTCATTGTCACTGTAAGCTTATGGGGCCTCCTGGTGCCATAGCACAGCTCTGGAACATAGGACTGGACAGGCTGTCTTGTGAGGCAGCAGACAGTGGCACATGAAGGCATATGGCTGTCTGGCAGGGAACGTGGTGATGTCCTCATGGATGTGGGGTGGGCTGTGATTCTTCACTCCATGGATCCTGCTCCCCAGCCACTGCAGATTGGTGACCTGGTCAACATAAGGCACGGCTCGCTCCTGACTTGGTGCTCAAGCTGCTCTCACAGGAATCTGAAAAATATTTTATTAAATATTTAATTAGATTTTCTGCCAGAAAAAAAGGTAAACTTATTCCCTTAAAAATAAAAAGTTTTGATTCCAAGGCACTTGCTCAGCTTCCATTTAAAGAGTGGGTCTGTGACTGATGAGGCTTAGATTCAGCTCCAGTGTACTGCAGATACCTGTGCTGCCTAACTGCAGCAAGATTGTTTATCTGTCTTTGCATCCATTTCCCAGTGGAGCCAAAATATAAAATAGAAACCTTTCCTTCCCTTATGTAATGCTCTGCTAGAGCTGGCATCCTGTGAGTGTTGGCTAGAAGGATCTCTGGAGGTCTCCAGTCTCCAGACGCTGGACTGCTGCCAGCACCAGATTAGATTGGCCGTAACTGTGTCTAGCCACAGAGTTGCAGTCTGCTTCTCATGTGCTTGCACAGCACTTGGATTGAGTTCGTGGAAAGCACAGGAAGATTTACCTGGAGTCTCCACCTCCCTCTCTGCATCTCTTTGGGAAGGAAGGCCAGAGAGGGTATATAAATCAACATCCATCCAGTCTGTTAGCATCCTTACCTCTCAGAAAAATACCATCCTGAGGACTGGGATGGTTCAGGACCAGGTAGCCTGACTGTTTGGTTTTTTCTGCTAGAGGCCAGTAACACTACAGGGAGGGCAGGCAAGAGAGCACCAGCTGAATTTACTGAGGAATTGAGCCAGATTCCTGTGTGCTGCCAGCACAAAAATAGCTGCCATCTTTGGATTTTATGGCTTTGCTTTGTTACAGTCTGGATCAGACTTGTTTTCAGAACAACCTTCAGCCCACATAAATACACCTGTCATTGAAAACAAATTTGCCTGGAATAATTTAACCAATACTTTCCTGCAGTAATCCCTGCACCTCTGTACGAGCAGTTAAACAAACTCGTTGGGATCACGCAGAGGAAACAACAGCATACAAAATGTTAGCCGTGTGCCTCACTCACTATTTTTTCAGCTTCATGCTATTGGATTACTTTCTTAAGTGCTCTGGGGACAGAGACAGTGAAGAACAGCTTTCCTTGGCAGTTTCTCACACACGGTTCTATTTTCCATGGCTCATCCAGCAAAATGTACACGCCTAAAAAAAACAGCAAGAAACAAGCTCATCCAAGAGGGGACGAGTACTGTGGATTTCACACCCCCACGCCCTGGCAGTCTAGCACTGGTATCGGGGCATTTACTGGGAGCAGGTGACAAGTGTGCCATGCCAGGGAAACGCGAGCAGCAAGATCCTCAGTGCTGCCCAGGGAGCGAGGAGCTCCTTTCCTGACAAGGCCACCTAACATGCAGGCAGGCATCTTACATGCAGCCAGGAAAGACACAGTCAGTTTTATCCATCCTGTAGCATTAACCAGGGCTTCAAGACTTCTGGCCTCAGTCGGAGTCCAGCAGCACGATGGACTGCCACAGCCACCCTGTGTGTGTTTAAAGGACAGTTGTCTTCTCATGCCCATCCCCGTGCCACTGGAGGGCTCTGCCTGGTAGAGCAGTTATTTTTCTAATTCTTACTCCATAAATAAAGGAAGTAAGTAATGCTATTAATTTCCTTACTCGTGAGATATTACTTTGTGTACTGTCATTCTTTCATACATGACCACACTCTTGAAATGCAAAGCTCACAATGGCTTATTAAGACTTGCAAGCTGCAAGTAATACCCCTGACTTGCACCTGCAAACCTGCATGTGCAAAGCAGCAGGAGGACAAGGAACTGTTCCGTGTCCATGCCAGGATGCATGACCTGCAGCCCGACGTGTCTGTGTCACCACAGGGAATCCTCTGAGATCCCAATGAACGAAAGACAGAGGGTGCAATCACAGAATCAATTAGACTGGAAAAGACCTCTCAGATCTCTTGAGTCCAACCTGTGACTGAACATCACCATGTCCACTAGACCACGGCACTAAGTGCCATGTCCAGTCTTTCCTTAAACACCTCCAAGGACGGTGACTCCACCACCTCCCTGGGCAGTCCATCCCAATATCTGATCACCTTTTCTGTGAAATTCCTCCTGATGTCCAAACTAAACCTCCCCTGATGCAGCCTGGGGCTCTGTCCTCTCATCATGTCAGCAGTTACCTGGGAGAAGAGACTGACCCTCACCTGGCTTTAACCTCCTTCCAGGTAGTTCTAGAGAGCAATAAGGTCACCCCTGAGCAACATTTTCTCCCACCTGCCTCAGCTGCTCCCCATAGGATTTGTGCTCCAGACCCTTCCCCAGCTCTGTTGTCCTTCTCTGGACCTGCTCCAGCACCTCAAAGTCCTTCCTGAACGGAGGGGCCCAGACCTGGACACAGAGATCGAGGTGCGGCCTCACGGGGGCCAAGAACAGGGGGCAATCCCTACCCTGGCCCCGGCGGCCACAGTATTCCTGGTAAAGGCCAGGATGCCACTGGCCTTCTGGCCCATCTGGCCCATCTGGGCACGCTGCTGGCTGATGTTCAGCCGGCTGGCGCTGTGCTGCAGCTCAGGGGGAGGCAGCCGGACCGCCCGCGTTCCCGGACCGTGTCCTCGCCCCGACGGCAGCGCCGGGAGCCCCCGCCGCGGTGCCGCCGCGTGGCCGCCAGGGGGCGCCAGAGCCGCGCCACAGCTAGGGGGGGTGTCCGCGCGCGGGCCCCGCCCCGCCAAGTGATGTCATCGGCGTCGGGCGTGAGGGCCCCGCGGGGCTGAAGTGGAAGGTCTGGCGGAAGTGACGTTGACGCCTGGCGGACGTGACGTTAGGACGCCTGGCGGAAGTGCTGGCAGAAGGCCTTGCGCGGCGGCGGCAGCAGCAGCAGTAGCAGCGGCGGCGGCGGTAGCGGTAGCGACAGTATCGGCGTTAGCGGTAGCGGCAGCAGCGGCTCAAGATGTCGATTGAAATCGAGTCCTCCGAGTACGTGTGGCGGCGAAGGGGGGGGGGTGGCGGCGGCGCGGGGAGGGGGTGGCGGCGGGCGCGGGGACGGGGGCGGGCGTCTCGGGGGGTGGGCGGCGGCGCGCGGTGGGGGGGGCGGCGGCGCGGGGAGGGTGGGGGGGGCAACGGGTAGGGGGGGGGGCAAGGGGGAGGGGGGGGCAACGGGGAGGGGGGGCAGCGGGGAGGGGGGGGCGGCGGCGCGGAGAGCGGGGGGGGGCAGCGGCGCGGGGAGGGGGAGGCGGTGGCGCGGGGCGCAAGGGGGGTTGGCGGCCGCGGCCACGGCCACGGCCTCGGCGGCCACGTGTGCGCCATGCCCGGTCTGAGCGCTCGCTGTGCCGTTCCCCACAGTGTGATCCGTTGCGTCGAAGAGGGGGGGGTGGCGCGGCGCGGGGGGGGAGGGGGGGGGGGCGGTTGTGCGCGGGGGCAGGGGGCGTTGGCGGCCGCGGCCACGGCCTCGGCGGCCACGTGTGCGCCATGCCCGGTCTGAGCGCTCGCTGTGCCTTTCCCCACAGCGTGATCCGGCTCATCATGCAGTACCTGAAGGAGAACAGCCTCCACCGGGCGCTCGCCACCCTGCAGGAGGAGACCACCGTGTCCCTCAACACCGTGGACAGTATCGAGAGCTTCGTGGCGGACATCAACAGCGGGCACTGGGACACGGTGCTGCAGGCCATACAGTCGCTGAAGCTGCCTGACAAGACCCTTATCGACCTCTACGAGCAGGTGAGCGAGCACGGGGCTCGTACAGGCTCTTCAATCTGCATGGGAGTCTCTGTGGTGTTCTCCATGCTAATGCAGACGTGTCTCTTGGTGCAGGTTGTACTGGAGCTGATCGAGCTCCGGGAACTGGGGGCTGCCAGGTCCCTGCTGAGGCAGACAGATCCCATGATCATGCTGAAACAAACCCAGCCTGAGCGCTACATCCACCTGGAAAACCTTCTGGCCAGGTCCTACTTTGATCCTCGTGAGGTATGTTGTGCTCTCTTAGAGACTTCTGCTCTCCTGCATGACCCCCAGCGTCAGCCCAAGTTGCTGATGGCTCAGGGAGTCTCTGGGAGTGAGAACCTGCAGTTTCCCAGTTTAAAGATTTTATATGTTTTAGGAAGTGTTAAGGAACTGGTGCTTGGCACTTGATCATGAGACAGCACCAGAGCAGTGAGAGTTCAGGGGTGTATACATGTGTCCTGCCACAGGATGACATCTATACTTTGCTTTTTCTGTCTTATGTAGGACAGCAGAAAAAAAGGCACCTTGTGCCAACAAAAATACTACTGTATAGTAGCAAGGCATTATTTCTTACTGGTTATTTCAGTCTGATGATGTCAGTCTGACATTTTTGGTGAAGGCCTGTTAGGTTATTGGCTAACTGGGTTAGTGGATTGATCCTGGAGGTTGTTTCCAACCCTGAGAATTCTATGATTCTGTAGCCTGAGTGTTTCAAGGGTGGGTATTAAAGAGAAGAGAGTTTTGGAGGTCTGGTAGAAAATTGATGTGGAAGGGGCTTCGATTCAGAGCAACAGAGGTTTTTGCGGAAAAAAATAATTATGCTTTGGAATAATCACCTCATAAAAATAACTTCTCTCTAGGCATACCCAGATGGGAGCAGCAAAGAGAAGCGGAGAGCTGCTATTGCACAAGCTTTGGCTGGAGAAGTCAGTGTGGTACCTCCATCCCGTCTCATGGCACTGTTGGGGCAGGTAAGTCTTGGAAAAGTATTTCAGTAGCTGTGTCAGCTTCCTTAGATCTCTGCTGCAGAAAACTAGCTATGGTGTAGTTGAGTTTCCAGCTCTGTAAAAGTAAGGCTCAGATGTTACGCATTTACATGTGGTAAATTTAAATGTGGTAAATAGTTAAAAATTAAATTTTTTCCATGTCGCAAGGATTTAGCTGTTGTAGGAAAAGTCATCACTCCAACAGTAGATTTCTTCCAACAGAATAAATATTCAGCACATAGAATGCACTTTGAAAATAACATTCTATAACACACACTGTTCCTGTTGTGCTTTCAGCCCATTTTTGGTTCTCAGAATGTTTTTGTTGATACCCTGTGCAGACAGTATTTCATATATGGTATGTCTGTGTTAACTGATACCTAATGCTGATGTTTTTCAACTCTTTTAAAGGCACTGAAATGGCAGCAGCATCAGGGCCTGCTTCCTCCTGGTATGACAATTGACTTGTTCAGAGGCAAAGCAGCTGTGAAAGATGTAGAAGAAGAAAAGTTCCCCACACAGCTGAGCAGGCATATTAAGGTGATGTATTTGCTTTTATGTATGTTACTGCTGCTTGTTCCTTCCTGTGCTTTATGTTGGGAGATAAGGGTAAATCTTCTGAATTTTTCTATTCTTTTTGTTGTAAGTCATCTCCCCCCTCCTTTTCCCCTCCCCCTTTCTACTCCATGCTTTATCTCATCGGGAGACTTTTCTTCATGAGAGTCTGAGATGAGGTCTTTTAACAGGATTGAATGCTTATGGTATTTGTGATTAAGATAAATGTGCTGTTTCTTTGGCTTCACAGTTCAGAATCAATCAGTTTCCAGAAGTTTGCATAGTCTCCTTCTTTGTCTGTGCAAGGAAATACTTGTATCTTAAACTGTTTTTTAGAAGCCACGAGTCAGAACTTGTGAAATCAATTTGTGGTGTTCAGTAACAGCTTTATTAGAACTTGTTTTGTTTACCAGTGCTGATCTTGTATTTTTATTTTGATTAGTGAAGCCTTTTTTTTCTATATTCAGTTGTCTCATGGTCAGTTGTATTTAAAAACTTGGAAATTTAAAAATTGGATATAAAAAAATATCAAACATTTCCTATAAAAATTACACTGAAGAAACATCACTCCAAGTGAAGCAACTTGTACTAAGCAGCATTAAATTTGTGAGTGCATACCTGTACAAAATACTGCATTTTTACCATCAAAATGAGACTACAGTTTTGTTTTAATGAGTTGTTCCTTTTAAGTTGCTTATCAAGTTTTGCTTATATTCTTCTATAAAACAGTTTGGGCAGAAGTCACACGTGGAGTGTGCTCGGTTTTCTCCAGATGGACAGTACCTGGTTACTGGCTCTGTCGATGGCTTCATTGAAGTGTGGAACTTCACTACTGGGAAGATTAGGAAGGTAAGTTACTCCTTATTTCACACGAATGGTTCATTTGTCAGAGCACCTGAATTTATTCTTTGAGATTTTGTTTATTTTCATTTGTCAGGGAATTTGAACCTGAGAAGGTTGTCTGCTTAGGCGATTCACGTATCAGTCTGGAACATTTACATGGGTTTAACTGTTTGGTCTGTCACAGATTTCCCTCTGTGATAAATTTTTTTACTTCTCTGCATCATTGTTGTTGCCTTTGAATCCTGCATTACAAAGCTGTGAAGTCTGTTTGACAATAGGTTATAAAATGTAATTGTAAGTTAAAACTGCTGTACTTTTGTACTTTGCCTTAAAATAGATATCTTCTGCTTTTGTTTAGGATCTGAAGTACCAGGCACAAGATAACTTTATGATGATGGATGATGCAGTGCTGTGCATGTGCTTTAGCAGAGATACAGAAATGCTAGCAACTGGAGCACAGGATGGAAAGATCAAGGTACAAATCTTTTTGTACTGTATATTGGGAGAGACGGTGACCAAAAAGATAACTTTGCAATTGCAGGAACGTTGCCATCCCATTTAAAAATAAATGAAGTTTAGCATGGCTCAGAAACAGATATGTATATTGGCTTTGGTGTTTAAACTTCTGTGACCTCATAGCAGAGTAACCACTTTTATTTCATTTTGTCTTTTCCTCTTCAGGTGTGGAAAATCCAGAGTGGTCAGTGCCTGAGAAGATTTGAACGAGCACACAGTAAAGGTGTTACATGCCTCAGTTTCTCTAAAGACAGCAGCCAGATTCTTAGTGCTTCTTTTGATCAGACAATCAGGTAAATAAACTGAGAAAGTGTGAGCTACAGTGGGGGAGAAATGAAAACAGAATTTTCACATTAAGCAGCTAAACTATAAAATAATTTAATTTAGAAGGTACCTGTACAGGTCTTTAGTCCACTAAGCTTCTCAAAGTACAGGTTAGGGTGGTTTGCTCAGGGCCTTGTCCAGCTGAGTTTTCAAGATCTCCGTGGTTGAAGACCCTATTGCTCCTATTGCTTCTCTTGGAATCTGTCTGGGGCTCTACAGTTCTTTTGGGGAAAATCCTGTTTGGAAATAGGAAAAAATGTTTTGGGTTGGTTTGATAATGATTTTTTTTTTTCCTTTTTAACGTGTATCTTTTGCCTTTTGTACTTCAGCCGTGGGCCTTTAAAAACATGTTGGACAGTGATGTTAAGCAAATAGTTATAAAAACTCTGTTCTAATCTTAAGTTACCAGGCAGCAGCAACCTCATCAAACCCTTTTTCCTGCAACTTTTAACATCTCAGAGGTGTTGCTTAACATTTGTGTAATGCAGTAGTTCTGATCTTGCGCCTACTTGGTGTCTTGTTACCGAGTGGAATTTACTCACTGGTTTGCACCTGTGTTTTCTGACAGGATTCATGGTTTAAAATCTGGGAAAACTTTAAAGGAATTCCGTGGTCATTCCTCCTTTGTCAATGAAGCTACTTTTACCCAGGATGGCCACTACATTATCAGCGCCTCCTCTGACGGCACAGTGAAGGTAAGATAGCGTTTACCCTTTGTGAATAACACATTCAGACTCTTGCTTTC